CGAACTCCCACGCAACTTCGTTAATAATCTACGATGCTCTATTCAAAGGTTTCACAAGGGGGATTACGCTGATGAAAGACAAATTTTTTAGGAATGTTGCAACCTTCCCAGTGGAAAATCCGCGCTTGTTCCGGGCATTCGTCTTCGTACAATGCAATCGGATCTCGATCGTGCTGCAAAATTTTTCGATGACGAAATCGAGAGATACACGGTTCGGTGATTCGCGGAATGATTCGTTCGTATCGAGTTACGATAGGGGAGGGCGGGCGGGGCGAGGGGAGACAAGCCCCTCTTGGCGCATTTCATTCGGCTAAACGTTCGATCGAGCCGAATCGAGAAACTTTCGAACAGTTTTTAAAACTCGTTCGAATACCTTCAGGAGCCCGAGCTCATCCTCGAGGTGGGCAGCACAGCGGGTTTCAAACAACCCGCATAAATTAGTCCGCGGACAATCGATGCATAAAATCGTGGGGTGTCTGCAAACAATAGACGGCAGAACCCACGTCAACGAGGCGGTATTCGATATAGGTCAAGAAGACGACGACGACGACGACGGTGCTCGCGCTTCATCGTCTAAGATCGTTTACCGTTTACTCGAAGAGTTCTGCGAGTTGCTACGCCCGCGATGTCGCGACACGACAAAGATCGTTTTTTATCTCTCGATGAAATCGACCACTCGAAATCGGAAAAGATCAACAACTGTCCAACGCCTTATGGTTTCACAGTTTATCGTTACGTTAGATCTATTCGAAGGAAATATTTGTTTTTCCCAAACATGTGGAACGTTACCATACAAAGAGATACATCGGTTGCTTCACGATGGTTCAACGCTTCCAAGTGGCACAAATCATCCGAAAAATGTGCTCTGGTCCCGAGCACCGTATCAAAACGCAGAGTATACGACTGGATAAAAAGTTCTCGTTCGGTTTGGTTACTTCGGTTACGTGTAGCGTGTTACCCGGTTTTACGAGCGAGAGCCGAGAGCCGAGAGCCGAGAATTCGACGGAAAATCGTCGTTGAATCGAAGGAGTTTCGACGGTTGGTGTGCCCTCACCCGGACAATACGCGTACAAGGTATTCCGAGGATCTTGGAATGTCGCGTGCCGGGTTTTCTCCCCTTTCCCTTCTTCCGAGCTGGCTCGAAAGCTCCCTTAACACGCGGGCAGAAATTATCTTCGCGTACGATCCAATAAAACTTCCGGCAAACTTTCCTATTGTCGCTCGAAACTGTTCCTCCCGGCCGACGCTGTTAGCATTTTCGTTTACTTTGTAAAGTTCGACACCCATCCAGGCCCTCGGAAGTTCGGGGGATGACTTTCATTCACGGGATACCCATCGGCCCGATCGAGACCCTAAAACCGGTGGTACGTAGGTGTACCCTCCTGTCCGCGCGTTATCGTTGCCGCGGCTGTTGCATCCTGCTGACGTAATTAACCGCGCGACCAATTATTCGAGGGTAATGCCACGATTTAATGTAACGGCAGATGAATTAAGCCGGACGTAACGAACGTTCATTACGAATTGATCCTGTTCCGCGTCCATGAAACGCGTGGCGCGAGGCCAGAGGGGAGAGGCTGGCTAGCAAAATAATCCTATTTAATTACAACCGGTCGCGCTGCAAAATCGTCGCACTGCGGTAATACACCACGATTCGCCGTGTACGGTTGTACTCGTGACTAAATAGAAAAACAATTGTCTCGCGACAAACGGCTCTTTCTGTCGTCCGTGTTACCCAACAGATAGTGTGTGTACACCCGCGAGCAAACTCGGCTTCCACTAGGAGAAAAAATTCACGTAGGGAAGAACCTCCTGCTATTTGGTATCGAGGATTATTGAAATATACGTCGATTTAACATTTATATTAGTACTTGAAATCAATTTACCAAGTGGTAGGAGGCCCTTCTCTTACGCCACTTTTTCCACTAGTGGACATCGAGTTTGCTCGTCGGGGTACGTTGTCTCGTTACTATTTCCAACATGACGATCTCGCTCGTAAGGGGATGCGAAGCAATAGTAACCGTCGCCGTCGTCCTGATTATCGGATTGCTGCGCAACCTAAGGCATGCGACAGCGGTCTCGCGAAATTTCCCGCTTTCCCGGTTCCCCAGTTTCCTGGGGCACCGGTGTATCCGCAACGATAACCAAAAGCGCGTATCCCTTCGACGTAGACACGGTTCCGTCGTCGTGCAATTATCTGGGTCGGGCGTTCGCAAAATCCAGGGTATCCGCAACGGGCGAGTTGGTTCTTCGGTAAACAACCCGCGTTCGAGAAAGTCTCGAGAAAGGGAAACGTTACCGAGAGATTTCCGTTTCGCGGTCGAATAGCTGGATATGTGCGACAACCGGCTATTCTCTGGGCTGCTCTCGTTGTAAATAATTCGTCCCCCGGCAAAGAACCCTCTCTTCCACCGTGTAATTCTCCGCGACCGAACGAGCCACCCGGGAAAACAAGAATTATACGCGGGGCTTCTCTATTCGGAGGACTCCCAGTTACGACTCCGAATGGGCAGTACAATTGTCGTAAACGCGGCGCACGCAAACCTGGGAATTATCCGTGGAAAATGCGAGTTTAAAAGTAACGCGACCACGGCTCGAAAACGTTCTATCGACTCTGTGGATCGATCCTTCGTCATTTCCCGAATGAATCACGAAGCGGAAGGCGATAGGACTGGCTGACTTTTGAGTCGAGCAGACGACTGCGAAGAACGTCTCCTCTGGTTTCACGTGTTTCTGGAAGCTCGGCGATGGACTTGCACGAAATTAATAGCGGTGATCGCGATAAAAGAAAATAATGGAGAAGAGTTGGTCCTTAATCCTCTTGACTCCAGTGGCGTGCAAGGCACGAGATAACGTTGGCTGACTAAACGAGTGCAGGTTTAGGTTACGGTACTGGTACTATGGTAACGATTTCAAGGAGGTATCGTTGAATCGGACGGTCGTATCTTCTGGCGAGCTCGGATTTCTTCAACCCAACCGATGCATAATCTTCCATGAACAGCGAGAGGGCTTGTTTCCGTTTACAACCGTAACATTCCGTGCTCGGAAAAATGAAAAGAAAAAAGAAAAAGAAAAAGAAAAAGAAAAAGAAAAAGCGTGCGCTAGCGACACGATTGTGATACCGTTTCGGTTAACAACCAACGACAAACTCGATTACACACTCTCGAGGTAGATGCGAAATTTTCGCTCGAGAAACTTTCACAGAAACATCGACGATCGAGACGCATCTTCTTCGCGTTGTATAAAGTACACCGGTACTTATTACACAGCCCTGGAGAAGATCGCGTTGTCAATCGCGTTTCCGTTTCGCCGCCGTCGTCGCCGCTCTGTTGTTCGCAAGCATTTTCCCTCTCGCGACACCGGCTGCCGCAGCCCGGTATGGCCCGAGGCCAACGCCTAAACAGCCAAGGTGTTTTGTTCCGTTTCGCTCGAGTCGCGATTGATTATCGTTCCGTACCAAAGAACGTATAACGGCGCGCCTCCTATAAGATCTTGCGATTTCCAAGCTTTGGAAGAACGTAGGTGCAGAATCGGTACCGTTTCACGCGAAACGAAGATAACGCTTCGACTTGCCGATCGAGCTCGACGGAACGGGGAAGCTGCCAACGACTCGAATCTATGAATTAAATACATCGAAGGATAATGGAATCCCTAACGACACTCTGGTATCGATACGGAGACGCGGTGTCGGTTGCGGGGCAACCGCGAATGACGTGTGGGCACCGTTTAATTAATACCGGCAACTTTAGGGCTTAAACGGCTCCGAAACGAGTTCACTGGGCCAACGCGCGTAGGTTGCACGTCGATCCGTCGAGGTATCGCTAATTTACTACGTACACCGACGCTCCTCCGGTATGCCGTTTGCGGTATCCAAATGCAATATAGGTATCGCATCTGTCGCGCACACGCGACCTAACACGCTCCTCTCGCCTACCACCGACCAAGACACTTACTCCAGAGAGACTACTATCTCGGCGAACACTGTTCAGAGGAAACCCAGACGGAAGAGAATTCGTAACCGCGAGCCATGCCTTCCTTCCTTCCTTCCTTCCGATAGAGAGAAAAAACAAAAAAGAAGGCTTGGCTCGGAACTCGTGCTTTCACGGCATCCGACGCGATAACGCGAGCAGACAAGCTCTCCCCCGTTTTCTTGGCACGCGGTCTGCCTCGAGACTGCGAAAAACACGATGTTTCACAGGTACAGGAAGCTCGAACTTCCTGTGGTCTACGAAAATGACTTGCCCCAGACCCCGTTCCCCGCGTTTTAGCACCGGCATACATTACGGTTAATGCGTGCTCGCTAATCGTCAACCTAAAACTTCGAGTCGTTAACGTCGCGAGATCGTGAAATCACGAAGAACCTTAATATGCCTGGCTGTGTTTCTCCGGTTATATAACCTCGGAATCGGACCAATCCTCTCGACTCTGGCAAGTTCGCAGACTACTCGAGAGATAAATATTCTCTTCGCGATAATGTCGTCGTCGTCGTCGTCGCGCCGCTGGACAAAGATCCATGGTCCTTCCTAGACGGTCTCTCGCAGCCGCCCCCCTTACACGTTTTGTTTGCAGCCATGCTTCTGCTCGTCCTCGAGTATCCTCGATGGAGAACCGGGGAAAGCTTCGCTTTGACACGCGGGATTTGTTACCGAGCTGCTCCCGACGTTTCTCGGGCCGCCGTAAAATATACGCGAGCACGTTCATAGTATGGAAATGCGGCTGCTATGCGCCGTCGCCGCGGAAATAAAAATAGAGAGCAACGAATAGGAGAAAATGGGACTACCTATGTAGAGGAGAAGAAGCGAGCCGACGCAACGGTAGCTCGAAGCTACGCTCGAAAAATTGAATAACTTAAGTAGGTATACGCCGCAACGCGTGAAACGAACGAGAAGCGAAAACTTCCACTCGCGTTCCCCGTTTCCGGATCAATTCCCCCGCGAACCGCCAAGTAAGATTTCGGCGGCGATGCTCCAGTCGGTAACGATCGCACACGATTTTCGTTTCAGTGCAACGCGGCGGTCGGCGTGAAGGCATTCTTCGACATGATGCACAGCGGACCGCACAAGGTAATGCTGTTTGGGGCAGCTTGCACCCACGTCACCGATCCGATCGCGAAAGCATCCAAGCACTGGCGTCTCACACAGGTAAGAAGTGTCTGGGATTTTCGCCGCGGAGCGATCCAAGCAACGATAACCGACAAAACCGACCGAAACTGGCCTTTTTTTGCAGCTCAGCTACGCAGACACGCATCCGATGTTCACGAGCAACAGCTTTCCAAACTTCTTTCGGGTGGTGCCGTCCGAGAACGCGTTCAACGCACCGCGCGTAGCGCTCTTGATACACTTCAATTGGACCAGAGTCGGCACAATTTACCAAAACGAGCCGAGATACGCTCTAGTAAGTATCGCGATTGGTCCATCGTCGTCTCTTTCTTTCCTCTCGAACTATACGTCCGCGCGAAACGATCCACGCGGGTTTTCCTCTTTTTCCAGGCGCACAATCGATTGGTCGCCGATCTAGACGACAGCAAGATGGAAGTCGTGGAGACGCAAAGCTTTGCCACGGAGGTGACCACGGCGCTCGAGAAGCTCAAAGAGAAAGACGTTCGAATCATTTTGGGGAATTTTAACGAGATCTGGGCCAGGCGAATATTCTGCGAAGCGTTCAAGTGCGTACACGTGAATACATACGTGGAATGCGCGTGGTGGCCTGTTCGAGATCAGGATGGAGGACACGGTTGAACCGATGGACGTTGCGCGTTTTCAGATTCGGTATGTTCGGAAGGAAGTATCAATGGGTGATCATGGGTACGTACACGGAAGAATGGTGGCTTCAGCCCGGAGGCGGTTGCGCTCCCTCGGAACTCACGGAAGCCTTGCACGGTGCCATTCTGACGGATCTGCTACCGTTGACCACGGAACGAATTGTTTACGTTTCCGTTTCGAATATGTTTTACAGACGCCGGATCAATATCGGGTCGAGTACGACTCGAGACGGGGCACGGAGTACTCGAGATTCCACGGATACACGTACGACGGTATATGGGCGGTCGCTCTGGCTATACAACACGTCGCGCGTCGGATAAGACACTATCGTCGCAATCAAACCATCTCGGATTTCAGATACAGGGACGCGCTCTGGGAGAAACTATTCCTCGAAGCCCTCAGAAACACCAGTTTCGAGGGAGTGACGGTGAGCATCGAGAAATAACGGATTAATTTCCATCGACCACGGGACCCTTCTATCCGAAACAAGTATTTTATTTATCGAAGCGATCTATAATCCTTTTTTTTTTTTTTTGCAAATTCGTTCCACTTCCGAACGAGTGGCAGATCGATCGAAGCGACGACGAATATCGACGACGCGACCTCCAGATTCGAGAGCATTAAAATAAATGGAACTTTACGCTCGGTCGACGATTAAAGCGGCAGCAGCGGGTGCCGCTGCTGTCGTTGCTCCTTTTATAAATCTCCATTATTTTTGTATATTTAGCGAACGCTCGAAAATCGCAACCGATATGTGACAAAGCGTGTGATTGATTTTCCAGGGCCCGGTACGTTTCTACGATAACGAAAGGAAAGCGTACATTCTGTTGAAGCAGTTTCAAAGTGAGTATACCGAACCGATATCGCGCGACGGGTATCGTGGTATTTCTACGTGTGTGTGTGTGTGTTTGTGTGTGTGTGGTGTTACCCGTAGGTGGCAGCGAAGTTAAAGTCGGCGAGTACGACGGCGTCACGGATGTACTGGACCTGACCAGAGGTCAGCCTTTGGTTTGGAGAGGAAGATCACCGCCGAAAGATCGAACACTTCATATCATCGAACACTCGACCGTAAATATTACAATATACGCCGTGCTGGCTTCAGCGGCTAGCGTCGGTATCGTGATGGCGGCCATTTTTCTAGCCATCAATATCAGATACAGAAATCAAAGGTAATTTTATTCGAGAAACAGCTGTTTCGCTATCGATCTTATTAACTCGATCGTGTCCCCGAATTTCCGTCCGACTTGAACCGGTATACCGATGTATCAACCGAAAGGATATTTTACTGCGTACGACGCTCCCAATGTTTTAGACATTAGACCGTTGACAAAGTACATACCTATATAGGTATACTTACTGACTTACATTCGAGCGAAAACAGAGAAACATCGAACACGTAGAAAAATCCATTGATCGCGCGCGTTGCCTTTTCACTCGAGCTCCTTGTTCCCTTCCTCTCTCTCTCTCTCACTCATGGTCTGTGTTTCTTCTCATGACCGTTCATCTTCAACGTTTCAGATACATAAAAATGTCATCGCCGCATTTAAACAACCTCATTATCGTCGGATGCATGCTGACCTACAGCAGTGTAATTTTCCTTGGGTTAGATTCGCAGCTGTCCAGCGTAACGGCATTTCCGTATATTTGCACCGCTAGAGCGTGGCTACTGATGGCTGGTTTCTCGTTGGCCTTCGGTGCCATGTTCTCCAAAACATGGCGGGTTCACTCCATCTTCACCGACGTTAAGCTGAACAAGAAGGTGAGTTGTTCTCTCGCTTTACCGTCTGCGGCACGAACAGTCAGCTTCCTGTTGCTGTTTATTTGGCCGAGATCGGTACGACGGTATACGTTATTCTGTACATACATAAGATGCGCGCGCCGCGCAACCCTTCAGAATTCTCCTCACGATATACGTCTCTGGTGGTTTAGGTCATAAAGGATTACCAGTTATTTATGGTGGTCGGTGTATTGTTAGTTATTGATTTGGGGATTATGACGACGTGGCAGGTTGCGGATCCATTCTACAGGGAGACCAAACAAATGGAGCCCTACGTACGTAACGACCCCGATTAAACGTAAACCGACGAGGCGATCGCGCGCGCGCGCGCAACAGATAGAGAGGGAGAGAGACACCCCTTTAATATCGTGTGTTCCTTTCGATTGCAGCCACATCCATCCAGCGAGGACATAATCATCATACCGGAAAACGAGTACTGTCAGAGCAATCGTATGACCGTATACTTGGGATGCATATACGCGTACAAAGGTCTCCTAATGGTGCGTAATTCAGCTGAAAAACAGCAGCAGCAGCAGCAGCAGCACGTTTCCGATTGGTCGATGCCGCGTGACTGCAAAGTTTTCCCGCGTTTTCCAGATATTCGGCGCGTTTCTGGCATGGGAAACGAGACACGTCAGTATTCCGGCGTTGAACGACAGCAAATACGTCGGGATGAGCGTGTACAACGTGGTAATCATGTGCGTAACCGGAGCAGCTATAAGTTTCGTGCTGGCCGACAAGCAAGACGCCATGTTTATAATGCTAGCGGTCTTTATAATATTCTGCAGCACAGGTACCCTGTGCTTGGTTTTCGTGCCGAAGGTATTATTCACGTTGAAATTTCCTGCACGTTATACCGTTATGCTTACGACCGTGTCTGTTTCCGATGACAGCTGATCGAACTGCGGCGAAATCCCCAAGGAGCGATAGACAAACGAATCAGAGCCACGCTGAGGCCCATGTCGAAGACGTGCCGGGACTCGAGTATGAGCGAACTAGAGGAACGTCTGAAGGAAGCTACCTTGACGAATCAAAAGTTTCGTAAGCAACTCGTGGAGAAAGACTCCGAGTTACAGGTAAGCGTACGAACCCTTTCGCTGATCGTTACGAGACACGAGCAAGAACGAATGATCAAACCGAGTGCAAAAACGCGACTCTCGACCAATTCGCAGATGTTCCTAAGAAGACTCGACGACCAAGGCGCCTCGAACACGCAAGAAGCAATGGACAGACTGACGGTGCCGCGGCAAGAAGGGACCATAAAGAAAGAAGGTAGCTTTTCTTTATGACATAGAAAAATGGTGCGTAAGACGGTGATTCGCGATGAAAATATTTTCGCTCTTTCGCCCCAGGCCTGTCCGTCAACACGGAAACAACCGACATCTCGATGTCTATGTGCAGCCTGAACTCGACGACGATTTCGCAACCGGAAGCGGAATATGTGAACGCGAATGCTATCGAGCAACAGGCAGCAAGGTGCATAGCAACCAGAGACCGGTATCCGATACTCCAACGATAAAACGTAATCAATTTGATAGCAGGGTTCGTTTTTTTGCTTCGCAGGAAGAAGACCTCGTTTTCCAGGATTCCAGCCATCGCCATCGACAGCGAAAGAGTACCCCTGGTGCCGCAAACGGAGCCCGTGAAACTGACCTCCGAGAGCTTCTCCTCCTCATCCGTGCCACCGCAATCGGCAATGAAACACACGGCGGAGGATTCGAGTCGTAGAAGAAGGTCGGTCGCCTCCGGTAAGGAGAGCGAGCCTCTCATCGAGAGAAGTCCAGAGTCGCGTCCAGACGGTAAAACCAACGTCGATTTCGTGCCGGAGATTGTCGAGGAAGGCGATGCAGTTATCCTCGAGGAGACCGAGATTCCCAGGCACGGTAAGACGATCAGATGCAGGGACGATCGTAGGTCGAGACTTCCGACGCCACCGCCGGCGAAAAATGTCTCGTTCGGTGAACTCCACGAGCAAGACTATCTCGAGCAATCTATCCTCCCGCCTCCGATGCAATTCGTACCGAAGCACCGACATTCCGGTGAGTATATGCCAGGATACAGAAAGTGTATATCGGTATATGTATAGAGTATGCATTGACGTCGTCTCGCCAGTTCCGATTGTTCCTTTTACTCCCGGTTTTTTTCTCTTCTGGCAGTCGCGGCGAACGTGTCCTCTCATCACTCTCTGAAAAGAAGATCGTCCGTCAAGAGCAACGGTATGGCCCACTCCCATCACGAGCTGTTCCAAACTCGACGGACCAGCGTGCCGATAAATTCGATCAGCTACATCTCGACCGAGAACGTTTCCAAGTCCGAGAGAGCCGAAATTTCTCTGGGCTCGTTCGACAAGTCGTACGTGATCGGGGAATGCGGGCACAGGCGAGCTCTAATAGCTGGGACCGGGTATCGTTGCGAGAAACACGGCGGCGGTGGACGTGGACACTCGCACGCGACGTTAAACGGTTCGGCTGAAACGCCGCCCGCGCCTAGGCGACAGAGGAAACGGTACGACTCGCAGAACGCCAGCTCGCCGAGCGTCCCGGCGATGGTGAACGCGAGCTACTCCGATACCGGTGAGAACACACCTACCTCGCACACATTTATCACAGATATAGTTGTCGTGGTCGTCGTCGTAATTTCGATAGATCGTTTTTCAACGCGCGAATCGATCCTGATTTCAGAGAAATGCGAGGAATCCGTGTCGACGATAATCCAACGGTCCGTATCGGAGAGATCGCGGGAAAAGTGTCCACGGTTGCGAACCGAGGGACACGCGGTGATCGAGTGCCCTCATCGCGTCGCCCGCAGGATACGAGAGTGCAGGCACACAGATTCGAAGCTACGGCAACAGGCTCGGCGGCTCGAGTACGTCCAGAGCACGCCGAACGTGGCCACCATTCACAACAACAAGTTCGCGAGCGCGAATCCTCGCGGCGGAGGCGGTCCAGGTGGCGTGGACGGTAATGGAACCGGTGTTGGTATGGGTATCGGTGGAGGTGTCGTTGGATCGGTAACCACCAGTTCGGACGTTGTCGGCGGTTCGACGGTCAACGTCTCGAAGATGTACAGCGCCGTGTCGGACGGCGAACTGCTGGATCTAACGATTCTACCGATCTTTCAAAAATTGCTCACCGAGAGGCACAAGAGCTCGAGAGGCGGCTACGGAGCCAGCGTGGCCAGCTGCCCGAATATATCGATCAAATGCGACATCGTCGAGTATCTTTAACGATCTTCCAACAAAATTAGTTTCCAATTTTCCCGCGGTATCGACTCGCGGACTCTAGTATCTCTACCGCGGTGAAAGGAAAGAAAAAAGATCGGACCGATGCACGGGACAACCGCCGGTTTCCTTATTCGTAACTCACCGGTTGTTATCGGTTCAGAAACTTTCCTCGTACGTGATCCCGTGATCGCGCGATTAGCGATCCACGAGTCTCGATAGCGAGCGTCGATTCGACGCGATATTCCGTATAACGCGACAACGATGTCGCGAACAACCCATACGCGTGTCTACGAGAACGCACCGCGAACCACTCCCGCTAGAACTCCGAATAAACCGTTTTTGATATAACCATCCTTTTAACCTAACGCGTACTCGAAAGGAAAGCTAAAAACCTGGACGAAGATGCCGACCTTACTGTGACACACGAGATTTTGTATTTTTAACTGAAAAATCAAACCGCCGCGAATTCTGTTTCACCCGCCAATTCCTTCGAAATTAATCACGCCTCGGACGAAGTAACGTCTACTTGGTTCCATTTTAGTTTCTTCGAATTTTTCAGCAGCTACCTTTTCTTCTCCCTTTCAAAAGATCTCGACGCGTGTTTAGTATGTCAATGGGAACGGGGGATCCGCGTATTTTTACAAAGCGAGATCAGCCTGAATAAGGAACGATGGAAACTAGCCTGAGAAGCGTAACGATGTACCTACGTATTAGCATATGGGTCCTAAGGTAAATGTGGGTAATGCTGTGAACGTGATCGTTTCACAACTAATTTTATAGCACGCGACGATCGTGCGATTACCGTCTAGCGAGACTGGAGTTGAATCCTTTTCTCGTTACGCTTCATCTCGCCTTGAAATGATTCGCGGCGACAAGCATCGTGACCTACCGATTCTTACAGTTCCCGATACATACATATAATTCTAAGGATATTGCGATTGCGATCCATTTCCGAAGCTGTACGACACGCGGAAACGGTCGAACGAGAAATAACATTCGACAATCGCGATTTCATTGAGCTAGTCGATACCCTCCTCCTTCTCCTCATCCTACTCCGACACTGTGTCCAGTATCACGCGAGAAGTGGTCGGCCTCTCCTTGTCGAGAAAATATATTTTAGTCTAAAGAGTTTACGAACAAAAATTCTGGATGTGACGTGCATGCCTAGTAAACAGAATCGATAAAACGTATCTTTCGTTTCGTTTCGTTTTTCGTTCTGTTCTTTTTTTCGAAGAAAAATCGAGAAGCCTACGATAAGTAAAGGTCGAGAAGGCGTTCGGATGTTCCGAGGAGCGTACTATCCGAGTGCCTAACGCTCGTTGCACAAGACCATCGTCGCGTGATTACGTGAGTCTGGTATTGTATATACCATTACTCTGGTAATAAATGTCATATTTACAGGTAAAAATAGACATTCGTTACGTGAAACGATTATACCTGTTACATTTCTTTCTTTTTTCTTTTTTACTTTTCAAAGGATCGAAATCCATTGTTCACGACACTCGTGTTTATTGCGTTTTCTAACTCCGAAGCAATACTCGTCTTCGTATCGTATTCTACATACATATATTATTACGTGTTACGAATACCCAAGTCGTCTGCGAAGTACGTGACGCACGACGCACGAATGAAAATGCATAATAAACGTAAACAAATTCCGATATAATTTTTCGACTAAGTAAGTATTGATACTAACAGGTCAATTATATTAAATTTTGTCAATAAAGTTGTTTCGCTCGTGTTACCGTCGGTCTTGCTTGAACTTCTTAAAACGACAGTCTCAAGTTATTCTCGCGACACTCTCGGCAAAGCGTTGTCGACGAGATTTTATGCGCTGTCGGTCGCGATACAATCCCATATTGGAAATCAAATTTCCAACTGTGTGGAAAGACTTTCCCCTCTTACTAAAGAACAAAAAACAAAACAAAAATCGTGAGCAACTTGATTTTCATTCCCGGAACACGTATATCTAACGCGGTACAAACTGTACATGCGTTCTTCGAGCGATTACAATAAAATTTTAATCGTTTTGATTGTACGATTCAACGTTTGTTGTCTACGTTTAGCATAGTGCAACGCAATCTTCTGTTAATGTAAAGTAAATAGAGTTTAATAAACGAACGATTTGATACCAAACCTCGGTTACAGCGACGCGTTCTAATTACGTTCACCTTGCTCTCTCTCTCTCTCTCTCTCTCTCTCTCTCTCTCTCTCTCTCTCTCTCTCCCCCCTCTCTCTCTCTCTCTCTGACAAGTCGTAGATGGGGCATAAAATGAATCTCCGATTCTGTAACCAACTGCCTCGTTATTATTCGTATTGTTTGTCATAATGACGCACGCAATCGACTCCGCGAATTACGTACATACATCTCCTCTCATCAATATGACCGTAACTGTCGTGGTTCGCGGTTCATCATTTTACACACAGTGTGATTCAGAACTACCGCGATAAAGTTATTATAAATAACTAATTATAAATTACTCTCGACACGCAACGAGTCCCTATTGAGTATCGAATAGAAGTAAGTATGCTCCGAATGCAATTGTACACCCACGAGCAAACTCGGCTTTCGCTAGGGGAAAAAGCGGCGTAAGAATACATAAAGACCGTCTACCAGTTGGTATCGGGAATTACTGAAATAAATTTATGTCAAATTAACGTTCGATTTAACAATTTATTTCAGTACTTGAATTAAATTTACCACGTGGTAGGAGGCTCTTACAATTACGCCACTTTTTCCCCTAGCAGAAGCCGAGTTTACAAGTACGCGGTTAACAAGCGAAAGAGTGGGGATATCGAATTTCTTTGTGCCACCAATTGTGATAGAGAATTCGAAGAATCTCAACGACTATTGGGTAGAAACTAACAGTAGCGTGTAATCTTGTCAACGAACCTAACCCCATACCTAGTTAGTTAGTTAGTTGTACAGTTCTCCCGGGAGAGGGGAAGTGCGATTTCCCCCCCAAGGCCGCAGCAGTGGCTCTGGCGCCGTTAGCTATCACACAGCCCCCGCCACAATAGCCGGGGCTGCGGTGGGCGTTACCAGGGGCTATTATTTCCCCCAGAACCCCATACCTAATCGAAACCTAACCCTATATATGTAAATAGTAACTAGCGATGCCATTTTATCAGTAACGTATCATACGACCATGCGTAACAAGTTTCACACGTCCAACAGCTATTCCTATTCCGGTAGACGCCGATGCGACTACATAACGACGGACATTCGTGCGAAAACTCAAAGGACATCCGATTTAAGAGAATCGAAGAATAACAACAGTCATCATGCTTCGATCGTTAAGGAAATTGCGTTTGCCAAGATACTTTTCCACGACGGCCGTCCCGGCACCGGAAACGAATCCGTCGATCATGTACACCGGAGTAAGTAATGCCTTTAGAACGAAATAATTCGAACGGATATAGCTAGAAACAATTGTCTATTGTTCGATGACGAATCTAACACAAATTATTAGATAGACATATTCGTAGTTTCAACTTTGGCCAGAAAAAAGCAAATACGTATTTACATGTAAACATTACATATTTTTCTTCTGTTTTTATTTGTCTCTTTGTTATACCACAGTCAGGCACACGGAAATTTATACTGCCTCTTACCTATATGTATGTATACATATAAACAACAAGGCGATACTTTGCAATGTACTCGTCGTCTCGCGATAGCAAATTATATTCCAAATACCGTATCCAACTTGTGCTCGCAAAAAAGTCGTCGAGCGAAAAGAGTTCATAAAAAATCAACTAGCTATTACGATGTTTTCGCGATTCGCGAAATGAAAGTGCTACGTGTTGAGAAATTTCTATGCCACGTCGAATTTTATCTTATCTTGACCTGGACGAAAATAAAGGCTATCGACACAACGTCATTGAAAGTTATCTGTTATTGACTCTGCAAATACGTAAGCGCGTTGCTTGTCTTGATACGATATCTATCTAAATAGTTGCATATTTCGAACCAACTAACTATGTGTCGTCCGTAAGCGGTGGTTATGAAAAAGATGTATCGTATGAACAGAGAAATGTCATTTTCAGATATTCATCGACAACGAATGGCACCGTTCAAAGTCCGGAAAAACGTTCCCCACGTTAAATCCAACGACCGGCGAAACGATCGCGGACGTTCAAGAGGGCGAGGTTGCTGATATAGACGTGGCCGTGAGTGCGGCCAACAAAGCATTCAAGTTCGGTTCGCAATGGAGAACGATGGACGCATCCCAGCGGGGCGTACTCCTGCATAGGTTGGCCGATCTAATCGAACGTGACCGTACATACATCGCGGTGAGATTGTGAACATTCCTCGATACACTTTAACGAGATTAAAGAACGGTTTTACCAGTTTGATAAAACTTGAACATGCGCTTTCAGTCGTTGGAGACGTTGGACAATGGTAAACCGTACTCGGTGGCGTACGGATTCGATGTTCCCGCTAGCGTGGCCACCCTGAGATATTACGCGGGATGGGCCGACAAGAATCATGGTCGAGTGATACCAACGGATGGAAATTACTTTGCTTACACTCGCCACGAACCGGTCGGAGTCTGCGGACAAATCATACCATGGAATTTCCCGTTGCTGATGATGGCTTGGAAATTAGGTCCCGCTCTAGCCACAGGTATCACCACCATCGAGCAAGTTTGCATAATTCCGTTACTGTCGCTTGTTGTTTCGTAGCCGGTTGACTCCTCTGTTTTCTTTTGCAGGAAACGTCATTGTTCTGAAGCCCGCGGAACAAACCCCGTTAACGGCTCTATACGTTGCACAATTGTCCAAGGAAGCTGGATTTCCTGGTGGAGTAATTAACGTGGTCCCCGGTTTCGGTAAAGCCGGAGCCGCGTTGGTAGCTCACAATAACGTTGACAAGATTGCGTTCACCGGTTCGACCGAGATTGGAAAGTTAGTGAAAAAGGGCGCGGCGGAGAGCAACCTGAAACGAACCACGCTGGAACTGGGTGGAAAGTCTCCCAATATAATCTTTAAGGACTCGGATCTCGATCATGCCGTGGAGACAGCCCATTTCGGCTTGTTCTTCAACATGGTACCGTGACGATCGTTCAACGTGATATTCAAAATTATCATTCGAGAGTTTATTCGAGCGTGGTTTCTATATGTCAGGGTCAATGTTGCTGCGCCGGGTCCAGAACTTTCGTCGAGGACAGCATTTACGACGAGTTCGTCGAGAGAAGCGCCGAACGTGCCAAATCAAGAGTGGTCGGGAATCCGTTCGACAGTAACGTTGAACAGGGCCCCCAGGTATTACCAAAGCAATATGAAAACTATTAACGCGTTGACTGTGGTATAGTGTAAAAGAAATTGGTACATCAACGAAACTCATTGTGTAGTCGACCCGATAAAGCTTCGAATGATCCCAGAAACCAGTGCATCATTCCAGCTATTCGTTTTTAACAGATCGACGAGGAACAAACGAACAAAATTATGTCCATGATAGAGCAGGGTAAGAAACAGGGAGCGAAGCTTGTTTCGGGCGGTTCGCGAGTCGGTGACAAGGGTTACTTCATCGCACCTACGGTGTTCGCCAATGTTACGGACGATATGACCATTGCAAGAGAAGAGGTATGGTATCATAAATTTTCTTACCGGGTATATCAATTAGGATTTTCACGTGAAACACCGTTATTGTCACTTCAATTCTAGATTTTTGGACCGGTTCAACAAATAATGAAATTCAGTAGCTTGAACGAAGTGATCAATAGAGCGAACAACACCGACTATGGATTAGCCGCGGCGGTATTCACAAAGGACATCGACAAGGCTAATTATATCATTCAGGGTCTACGAGCGGGCACCGTGTGGTAAGTCAACTCTCGGAGATTGCCCTCGACGCGATTAATTCTCTTACAATATCGTGTTACAGGGTCAACACGTACAATGTTTTATCGCCCCAAGTACCGTTTGGCGGTTACAAAATGTCAGGACATGGAAGAGAACTGGGAGAGTACGGACTCGAAGCGTACACCGAAGTGAAGAGTGTGATAGTTAAAGTTAATCAGAAAAACAGTTAAACTAACACTGCTCCCCGATACGCGCCTGTAAACTTTGTAACATTTTTTCTTTACTACTTTCTACCGTGGAAAAATGAATGTGAACTGCGAGCGAGCGCGTTTGCGATTCGAGAGATAGCCCGTTGAAAGAATGAACCGTGTGCTTGAAAAGTACAGTTAAAAGTACAATGTTTTTCTACCGATTATAAATGTTTTTCTACCGTTTATAAATGTAGAAAAGAACACGACAATATTATAGTGTAAAGAAGAAACAAGCAATAGAACTATGGTTAACGATCAGTTTCGAATACAGTCGCACAATTTATAAAAATAGAATCAATAAATAATTTACTTTCTTTAAATTCATCTATCCACAATGTCCCTACATATATTAAATCGTTGTTAAAATTACGGAATAATGCAGCAACTACGTAATAATATGTATGTACAGTCAGGGAAAACTTACAAGGGGAACCCAAGAGAATCATCGACGCCGACGATTAAGTATATTCGCACATGTGACCGCAACCAGTTGGACACTGTCGATTGCAACTGAACCACTCGTTCATGTGCACAACGTGACCTCCATGCGTGCAACCCTGACACCACGCGTACACCCCTCGAACAACCTACAAACAAACAAACGTATTGTACCGGGAATGTAAAAGGGGCCACGCGAAAGGTAACGACATTATTGAAATGTCTCACTTGATGGCAAACGGAACAAAGTGCATGGTGGGACGAGTGACACCGATCGCACAGCCATGCTGCTCTCTGCAACGGTTTCGTGCAAGCTAAACAACACGCGTGTATCACTGTCGATTGCTGATTCAATTGCGACACCGACGGGATCCAAACCGACTGGATTATCTGTGAACGTACACAACACATTGCCACTCGTCTCTGTCCCGCTAAAAATTCGAATAAATAGTCATCCGTCTCTCTCCCTTATAAAGTTAAACGCTAACCTGTGTCGCCACGTTCCAAAGTTTAAACCTCGCGAGCATGTCTAAATACTCCAGTATCCAATGTTCTTGAACAGCCATCTCGATGTTCAAGCTTTTCCGTTTCTCTCCCAGCGCGATGAGAATCGACGCGGAAGTCTGTATATCCCGAAGGGCTGCGTGATGTTTCAACGCTTCTTCGATTAAATTGGTCGGATCCCAAAACTGCGGTTTCGGTATGTTCGAAACGATCAATTGACTCGGTTGATCTTCGATCATCAACGAGGCACAGTCTTCATTGATGTCCGGAGGGTGATTCGGAAATTGTTCGGGTGGCGGTGATCTGTCCTTTATCTCGTGTCGCAATGGAAAAGCCTCTTTGGACAACGTCCAGTCGTTATCATTGTTCATTATACTATGCATGTAACTGGAAGTGTATTCCACTGTGAATGGTTCGAAGTCGCTTTCCCCGAATAAAAAATCTCCTTTCGATGATCCCTTGTTGTCGATAAAGGTTCGTTTATAACTGTACATTTCAAGCGTGACAATACCGTTAGCCAACAAAATACGATCGATATCACAGGATTTAATATCTTTGGTTCTACCTAGGCAATAAAGACCCTATAGAATACTGATTCTCTGGTGTCTCGTCAGTCTCAGTCTCGTCATCGCCCCCACTGGTTGCTCCCGTTACTTCTCCTTGGAGAGATTTCACATCATTTTCGTGTCCTTCGTAAAAACAATGTAAAAATCATTTAAACGTTAAAAGATTAAGTCTCGAGACGCGAAACGATACATTTTCTTTCCCCTTTACATCCTACTTCGCGATACAAAGATAGTACTTGTACCTGCATTTGGTTGATCTATACTAGGTCCAATTGTAATCTGTGCTAAGTTCAATGTATTTACTATGTCTTCCTTGGAAGCAGTTGGAGGTGTCTTTAAAATAGATCCCATTGGGTTTGCGTATAATGTTTTTATGATACTCCATACTGTACTGATCTGATTAAGTATAAGTCTATTAAGTAATAGTCGGTAATTCTATCAGCGCGATTGCAGAATACAGCAATGTTAAACAATTACTTACATCGTTTCTACCAGCACTTCTAGCAACCGCAGCATTATGGTCGCAAATATCGTTCAATCGTCCAGCGAGCAAGTAACCTTCTGCACAAGCTTTAAACCACTTTGGTTCCCGTGGCACAGTTACAGCAAACCTATGCATCATACTAGATGCCATGCAAAATGTATCGTTTGTTGCAGGTATTTTCCTACAAGCAGACATTAATTATACATCTTGTGTTCGTGTCATATTCACTTCTACGAAATTGAGTTCGTTCGTACAACAAATTTATTAACCTCATTATATTAGTAAACTGTTTCATTGTTGTTGTAACGTGGACGTTCACTTTACAAGCGTACACGATATCCCCTTTTGGATTCAATGCAATACCTTGTGGATTCGCTTTACTAGCTGGTCTAGTAGCATCTTTGAACACATGATGGTACAGAGTACAGTCCTGCATCAACAACGATTTGTTAATGTATTACAGTGAATTGTATTACTGAATTGCTATATCAATTACCCTGCTAGTCGACAGGAATGATTGTGGATTACCCCTCCATGCTACACCAGTTGGAACGTCTTTATGCTCATTAAAACTTGCGAATGGAATATACGGCCTACGAATATCCCATACGTTTATACTACAGTCTACAACAAGAGCGCAACTGGATATATGATATTTTCTCTGAGGTCTCCATTTTATACGACCGACGGATGCTATCGTATGTATGACGTAATCGCAACTGGGTTTACCAGATAGATCCCACACCTAAATATAAGAGTTTCAGAAGATATCTATTTGATACACAATGTCAGAAAATACACCAAAGCACCTTGATAGTCTTATCCCTGGAAGCAGTTGCAAGCCATGTAGACTCAGGATGCCAATCGCAAGCAAATATAGGACCACTATGAGCAGTAAAGTGTTGAAAATAACGATCCGGTTTACGTAAATCCCATTGTTGTACATGCCCATTCTCAGAAACAGCAGCAAAGGTATGCGGTGAATGAGGACAAAACTGTACATCTCGCACAGATTCTGTGTTACTGAAATCACAGACAGTCCCTAATGCAATTTGCTAAGAAACTTTTCAATGATGAAAAAAGTATAAACACAAAACCTGTAAAAAGTTTTAGTAGCTTCTTTTATTCTTAGATCAAAGCATTTCATAGTGCCATCTTGAGAACCTGATATTAGCCACATAGGTTCTGTCATATGAAAACTAACTTTATTCACAGTTCTTTTATGATCTATGAAAACGTGTTCCTGCTTGGATCTCGAAGATTTATTTAAATTCCATACTACTACTGCACCATTTGTAGCAGCGGTTGCTAATATATGATCTAAACAATGTAAAGGTTACGCAAAGTTTTCTAATTACTTAATTGTTATAATTGCTTATACGGTAATGTTGAAAAAAGAACAAATAGTAAAATATCTCGATTGTGTTACGGTAATTTTAAAAAATAAGGTAACTACTTTCTTACCATCAATCAAATTCCATGCAACATCGTTGCACGAAAAATTTAAATTTAAATTTTTACCAACACGTAGATTACAAGCCTCCTCGAATCTGTCTTCCAATAAAAGAAATATCTTAAAAACTGCAATATAAAGTGATGATTTATACATGTTAATGTATATTAATTGCAATAAAGAATAATATTTCAGAGGCTATTGAAATGACTTGCCATTACGTCCTGCTATAACAACTTGACTGTTATCTTTGTTTAATGCTAATGCATTTGCTGGTCCTTCTTGAGTAATGCAAACAGTTTTGGAAATCATGTCGGAATTCTTTCAAATATAGCAAAATACTGATATTGAAACTGGTAAGCACAGCATACCGACAGACAAATGATTGCAAGCTGAATTATGATACCGTCATCTATAACCTACGACAAAACGTCCAAGTACTACCCAACTGTACCCAACTACATATGTACACTGTACATGCAAACACGCTTCTCACCGTTAAATGGTGGCGCCATTTCTCCAAAATCATATATTATGTATGCATACGCGGTTTTTCCGCTATATATATAACTGAAGTTCAAAATCGTTCAAAAACCGTAGAATAAATCCCGATAATTGATAATTAAAAAGAATTACAAGAACAGAGTACAGACGAGGTACAAGAGCACTAATATTGTCTAACATCCAATGTATCGCAGGGGCTAGCCTAATTTATTTTATTTCAAATAAATTTCAATTTTTTAAGATTTATGTATTTTGTTGTATATACTGTATTACAAAACCCCATCCCCTTCCGCTTTTTAACCAAGGGGGGCCCCGAAAATCTGATAGCCCTGGGCCACAAGAATAAACCTTAATCGGGCCTAGATTTTATACGTATATGTATACATAAGTATAATATGCTTTTTTTTTTAATATGAACAGTTGAGAAAAATGAACACGCTCGCAGCCAATTAGCTCTTATTATTTGCTATATAATTAGTGAACTTATAGGTGATTATGGTTAACCAATTATACACCAAATAATAATGATTGCCCAGGTCTCACCACGTGGAGGTTGCTGCGAATGGAGACCCACCGTCCATCGCGCCTATTTAAATACGTCGTCGGTCGTCCGCCTTTTGTACAACATTTACCCCACGGAGCTATTAAACTAACAAGTTGTTTTTTGAATTGATGCAACCCCCTGATCTTCATACATACGTAGCGAATTCTTCATACGATTCTCTTCGTATGAACGTCACACGGAGAAATAACTTATCATATGATCATATGATAATCACTCTTTGTATGATAATCACACGAAGAGATATACCTTCATATTATGATGATTTTTGAGACAAAAACGCATAGGATTATCCTACATACATATGTAATTACAGTTACAGTAGGCATTCGTTTATTGCATATTTCGGGGCTGTAGAGGACCAGAATTCCAACAATTGTAACTCCGTTGACTCCATTTAACGAAGGTCTACTGTACTTTGATCGAATAGCAGCTTCAGCGTTTAATTGTAGATGGCGACTATATTAAATAATCGAATTTAGGGAAAAAATATTTAATCGTAATGTTTGCGGTTTCTTTATATGCATGTACTTTCCAGAAACACGTAAGCATGTGTTGTAATCGCTGCCAATGTCAGGTTGGCGGAGTGGAGTGGCCAACCATAATAATCATGGGTGTATATAAGCAGAAATCGATTTCAACGTTCTCCTGACAGTCACGTTAGTTGTTTGTGGTGGGTCTTGTATTCCATGAATGTGTGCAACAAGTTGTGATCTGTCAGAGGTGTGTCAAACGAAAGAAAAAGAAAACTAGCGGTAGTTGCTGCAGTGGCAATTTTTTAAATTACATATTAAACTTTTGTTTGAAATTGCTGTTGGTAATTTTCATACTTTCGATGATTGGTTGTAATGCGTGTTCTACAGATGTAATAAAATTTAGTTTTTAACTTTTTAGTTAGCAAATACTCAATATGTTCGATATCTGATCGTACCCAAACTTAAGTGGCCATAGATTCAGACTATTATGTTTTGAAAAGTATCTTGAACTATTTTTATTAATTAAAATTTATATAATTATAAGTCGTTTTACAGCAATATTCGCGCTAAAAGAATTTTTATAAAATAAACAATAGTTAGTCACCATACAATAAAGTGAAAGTTTATTTAATGTGTTTCGACATAAGTAACTCAAGGCCGGTTATCACAGCTGAAATAAAGTTTACAGATAGGTACTGATAGAAGTACTTGTACATCAAAGTAAATCCAAGTAGCCGGTTCATTCCGCGATATAGAGATAACATTTATAAAATATCATTAGGAAGTGACATTGCTACAGAAAAATATGGGTGCCAATAATTGTAAAGGTCTTCTTCCTGGGAATTCAAAGTCCGTGTCACGCAGATCACCGAAAACAGGTTCGAACTATTTTATATATATATATATATATATATATATATATATATATATATATATACTATATATGTATACATATGTTTACAATGATGTGGACCCAAGATATAAACGATACAAAATACTCAAAATTTTAATGTTTTTACGGTCCACGTATGTTACGTTGATACTCAAAAGTACTACGCGTATAATTGAAACACAAGATTCTGTTATAAAAGATCATTATTAAAAGTTATCTTTCAGCAGAATACATAAAAGTTATTTCGTATTTTAATGGAATGATGTCTATAGATAGAATAAAAATTGTCTATAGATTTACAAATACGTATTTGTAGATAGTTGAAGCCTTTTTTTTTTAATACCCAATGGTATTTCCCCGGATCGATTGTTTGATGAATGATTAAGAACGTCACGTGACTACGATATATCTTTCCTTGTTATTATGTTAATCTTTATCGAATAACGTCTGAATTTAATTACCAATGTGATTGATGACATACAGATAATAATCAGTTTAACTGTACAGTGAAATATAAAACTGCTCTGGACAACAAGTGAGTTGCATAGGCATTCTATTTAAATTGTAACTGCTTTAACCCAGCCAGACTTGGCCAGACCTTGCCATAATTTCACGTCAGTCCTATTATGTATGTCACTAAGTTTTTCTTACGAACACTTCAATGTTAGATCTACAAATTAGGTATGCCTTAATTACATAGAAACTTTGAACAACGACAGGTTTAGTGATTAATTGTAAAGCAATGTCAGTATGTGGTTGTATATACAATGCGAAATACTTGACGCGGTTAGCAGGGTGTAACACAGTTTCTCATGTTCGCTTAAAGATTCTAAAAAGGAAGATGACAGAATTGAAGTCTGAACGGAAATCTTACATTTGCAGTGAGTGTAATAAACCGAAAGGAGATATTAGACCGTCGCGTAATAATTTAAAGTGTTGCTGTAGTTGTGAGTTATCTCTATCCATCTGTATACCCAATGTGTTTATATTGGAAAACCACGATTTAAATAGTTTTGAGAATTTCGTAAATACTAAACACACACGCATCACTCGATCTATATATGTAATAATATACATTGATTTAGGTAAACCAGGGAAATATGACTATATTGAAGATGTGGTGTGCAATGAATCTGATATAAAAGATAATGATATGAAATTATTGCCGCTTGGAGATGCTGGTGATAAGATCTTATTAATTAAACAAAAGGGCGAGTTACATGCCATAGGTACAAAATGTACTCACTATGGAGCTTTACTCCATACAGGAGCATTGGGAGATGGAAGAATAAGGTGTCCTTGGCATGGTGCATGTTTCAATATCAGAACAGGGGACATTGAAGACTATCCAGGCTTAGATTCACTACCATGTTACAAAGTAATCAGTCAAATCGTTTAATTACTATCACTTGATCCATTAGCATCATGCTATTCTATTGTTCCATCAAACAGGTACACGTAGATGACAGTGGTCTTGTACGTGTCAGAGCCAACCGTAAAGATTTAGGTTTGAATAGGCGTGTAAAACACATGTGCGAACAAGATCCCAGTAATCAAACTACTGTTGTCATTGTCGGAGGAGGGCCAGCTGGTGCTACTTGTGCAGAAACATTGCGACAAGAGAATTTTACAGGAAACATTATTATGATCTGTAAAGAAAATGTAGTTCCATATGATAGAGTGAAAGTATCCAAAGTTTTAGATTTTGATGTGGAGAAAGCAGCTTTAAGACCACAGTCGTTTTACAAAGACTATAAGATTGATGTTAAACTAAGCGTAGAAGCTATAGGTAATAAAATTTTCAGAAATAATTCAATACAACTCTGTTAACTGTCACATGCTCTTACAGGCCTGAATACAAGCGAAAAGAGTATTGCATTAAGTAATAATGAAAAATTAATATACAACTACTTATTCATTTCTACTGGAAGCAAACCAAGGATGCCTGAAGTACCTGGTGCTAATCTGTCTAATATTTATGTATTGAGGAATTATACGGAATCTCATGAGATACATTCAAAATTGTCAGCCAACAAGCACATCGTAGTACTTGGTCTAGGTTTCATTGGTATGGAAGCAGCAGCTTATTGCGTGGGTAAATGCAAATCTGTGACAATTATCGGAAAAGAAAAAGGTACTATACTCCCCACTTTTGTATTTGATTTATACCAAATTGTATAAAAAATAACCAAATATTTTGATTCAGGTATTAAGTTTATACTTGGAAATAATATTGCACAATTCATTGCAAAGGAAGATGATGGAAACACTGTAGGTACAGTGTTGCTTACCGATGGCACGGTACTTCCAGCTGATATAGCTATTATTGGAATTGGATCTACACTTTATACTGATTGGATAAAAGATTCTTCTATACAAATGTTAGAAGATGGCAGTATAATAGTCGATAAGGTACAATGCACAGAGGATATACATACAAGCAAAAATAATCAAGATAGTAATTACAAAATAGTTAACACACTGCATTGACTTTTAGCACTTGAAAACAAACGTGGAAAACGTATATGCTGGTGGTGACATAGCGTACGCACCATTGTTTGGTTCCGATAGCACTACAGCGGCAATAGGCCACTACCCTTTGGCGCATTATCATGGAAAAATAGCAGCGTTAAACATTTGCGCTAAAACCACGGCATTAAATGCCATTCCATTCTTCTGGACAACTTTGTTCGGTAAAAGCTACCGATACGCAGGTACGTTTACCATTCATCAAATTTTATAAAAAATGAATTCTGAACATTTTTCTTATACCCTTTGATGTGTAAAATTTCATTCAGGGTATGGAAAACCAGACAAAATAAAGATTCATGGTTCTTTGGAAAAGTTTGAATTTTTCGCGTACTACATTAAAGATGGCAAAGTCACTGCAATGAGTAGCGTAGGAGCAGACCCAGTAGTATCAGACTTTGCAAATTTCCTGCACGAAGGAAAATCATTAACGGAAATAATAATTAATAAACATCCATTTGATTGGATTAGAAGTAAACCAAAAGATTTGGTTGATCGTTTTCAAAATGAAATTACTACAGACCCATAAAGGAAACACTAGTTAAGAAGAAATATTGTTTACATTAGTAAAAACAATTAAATTGTGGACCATACTTTAATGTTGCATTCTTAAATATATATTTCCACCATTATGTATGTACTTAAAGATGTTATTTACTACAAACTGTTTTTGTTCTTTTGTTCAAACAGCACAACTTTACATACATAATGTATTAAAGAAATGCACACCAAAGAATATTGGCATGAAAACTCTACAATAAGAATGTTAACAGTGTCATAGAACCTTAAAACTAATATATAACAGAGCTGATAGTTGTCTATGGATAATGTGTATTTATTTATTATAGAACGATAATATTATAATAAAATTGATAAAATATATATTAATCCCAAGATTCATTTACCATATAATAGTTTAACCGATCTGCAATAGTAATCCGTTTACTAAACTTCACATTCTTTTCTTCGTGCCAAAATTGTATCAGCTTATCTGACTTTTCCTGTTTCACATCCTTCATGTGGCCGAAACTTTGTTCAGCAGTAATATAAGGATGCCTTAGTAGCAACATATTCTGCTGTTCTCTTTCAATATCCCACTTCATGTTCATTATATCCTTGATGGTTGGTTTTTTTTCGCGACGGTACTTCCTACACATAATACGAGGTGTGTGTACTATTAACCGTATCATTTACAGACAATGCAACCATATTAAATTCTACAGTAGTAACAAACACTAAGTAACGTTCGTTTTTCTTGATTATTCTATTCATTTAAGAAATATCGGGAATACCGGTAATAACATAACCTTTAAATAACCATTATAGGATTGAAGAATTGTACGTACCCACGGAATCGATACGGTATATTATGAACTTTATAGAAAAAGACACTGGCAAGGCGCATTTTGTTCGAAGGTTCTTTTCTCTATTGTATGTGTTACTGTTTTTACAAAAATTCGCGAATTATACAAGGTAGGTAGAGGTAAAGATAATATCTGTTCTTTCCAATTCCGTCACCTGATCACTTGTGATCACTGTATAATTGTCCATCTCCATCTTGAAATTGTGCTAAGGTGGGGGAAGGAATGATCTACTGTACACTTTGATTGGCGGAGAGTATTTTGAAATAACAAAATGGCGGTACGTATGCTTTTAAAACTCCAAATTTGAAAAATTTATAATAAGTACTTATTCTTGTTTTTTTTTTTCAGATCAAACCGATCGCTTTTTTAAATTAATCGTGTTCAGTGAATTATTCGCAATAATCTTAAGAGAACGTTAAAACAAGTTTATTTCTCGTTACAAAAGGGATAAAGCGATAACAATTATGTTTAGATGAAAAGCAAAATGTTTTGACGGAGAGAGGAAAAAAAGTAATACTCGGCAAACTCTTTAATTTTCAGCTATCTTTCCTAACGTTTGCATATATTTAAGTTTCATATTATGTAATCGTAATACGATAATGTTCAGGAGAATAAAGTCGCGCTCTCATATACTATTTATTATCGTCTGTAATATATGGACTTTATATGGTGTACGCTAATTCGAGGTGCAAGCGTAAAGGATATTCTTCATCTTCGATGATTAGGATGATTGCACGACAAAACGGTATCTTGCTAAAGGGGATCAGAGAAAGTCAGAAAGTCAGATTTCCATGAAAGAATCGATCTATTTTATAGCATCTCAAATTCAAGACAAAAAGAAAAGGTGATTCTTATAATTAATAACAAACACGTTGTCAAATTACGAAGGAGGTTCACAGATACGGTTCTCGCGTCGATACACGAGACTATTTTGGTTTTCGTCGCCATTGTTTTCGATTCATCTCACCTACCTGCCTTTCTTTCCCTCTGTCTACCCGTCTCGTCGTTCATTATATTTATAGGATAGGATAATGTAAAATATAAACAATATTGTACATACTGAACGATACTCCCGTTCTCTTGGTTCGCGATTAAAATGGAGATTAGCCCGGAAATTTGGTGGTATCCATCGTTTCTGTTTGTTAAAACTAGGAGGAAAATCTCGATGCAGCTAATTAGACGGGTATTTAGATCGGATAGATAGGCAAGTGGACAAGCCATACGAGCAAATGGTGGACTATTATGCTCTACACTGCCACATAAGCTGTGGCTGGCTTTCCTTTGAATCTAACGGTCTACGCGCAACTGGAAATTCCTCATCCACTGTCTCTTGTTTTAAATATAAATCGCATTTGAAATCCATTCTGCTTCGACACCCTCGATCAACCCTCTCTTTAATCGAATCGTAATCGGCCGGGCACACGCGTACCTCGTAATCGTCGCTTACGTCAATGAATGCTCTTTCGTATTTTTGAATCAGGGAAGTTTTTGGGTGACAAATTACATCTGGGTAATTAGAGTAGTGTGATCGAGAAACGAGCATGAAAAATTACGATTCCCTACTAATGTTACACTTCTTTTTGTTATTTCTTTTCTCTTTATTTTTGTTGTTCTTGTTGTTATATGTGTGTACGTCTGTTTCCCATTATCCCTTTCGCCGTTGTGTCGTTTCCCTCTGGCGTTTATTCTTTTCCCTTCTTTTCGCGTCGTCGATCCTACGAGACGTGTCGTCGTCCGCTTCGATCACGAATCGGGAACGCCTCGTAGGATAATTTAGGCGCACGCTAATTACTCGAGTGTCGTTGCTCGTAATACTGTTGCACGCATACATACACACACGTTTAATGATACGGTAAATCTCTGAGTTCTCGGTTCTCCCGTTCTCTATCCCCGTTGGTTCTCGCGAGTATGTCTCCCGTTCCTCGTTTCCACAGAATTCTTTTTACGACAGATCACATTACATACATGTACACGTATATCAGCGCAGAGTGAGTTTCGCTGCACCCTCACTGTCGCCGTTTAAACTACCGATACCGGTACAAAATTACTTAGAAAATCGTTCCGGTTATTATTAATATAATAATTCCGTACCAGTACCGACGCGAGGCTCTAACAATAGGGAGGGTTTATCGAAATCTAGATGAGACACGCTCGCGTCGATAGTTTCTCATAATAATCGGTCGGACATAATAATATTGTTTAGATTTTTAGAAGGTTGTTTGCTGCACGTCGAGATTCCCGCGGGATCGTTCACGGTGCCTAAAATACGGATTATCATATTAACGATAACGAGAGTTCTTCCTGCATTTCCTAAGTTGGGAGATGTTTACGTTACTTTGTTTTATTAACAACAAAAGAAGAAATGCATCAACGTTTACGTTGACGATAAGTGAACGATGAAGATGCGAGCACAGCAGAGTGAATACAATTTTCTACGTGGCACCGCACGTGTATCGGCCTCGTTCGCTAAACACGATCTTAATTTTACTAATGCCACAGTACATAGCCACAGATCGCGTTGCTCTCCGCAACACGGTCGCTGTACAAACACTCCCGCTTCCTTATTCACTAATATCGAGAGAGACTCGGTGAACTTGCCGTATCCTTTTCGATCGATCGGTCTATCGTTCGGTTCGGCGGGAAGAGAAAAACAAGAGTCCACTTCTCGTTCTACCGGTCCCTCGCGTCTTCGATAGTAGCTCGCGCGACAATATTCTTGTTACATTCATCCCTTTTGGAATTTCAATACGGTCGTGGTATCATCGAGAAAACGAATCGTTTGTGAAACACAACTAGAAAGATCAATGAACGATAATATATGTATAAAGGATCGCGCGAGACGAAGATCAAGCGGTGGTAATCATTTCTGATCGGGTTTCGATCGAAATTCCCAAAAAATCGAGCGATCTAACCGTGATCCAACGATCGACGCGACGGTTCGATAGCTCGATCATACTCTTGGACGTCCACGATGCGAGCAAAAGGACTCGCGGTTCGACGTGGAATATTCGAACGAACACCGAACACGTCTCCGCACGACATGTCGCGTCGCGTAATCCACGTCGACGTACTTGACGAATCGCCATTGAAACGTAGATATCTAAAAGTAGGTAAACGCAGGTAAACGCACGCAGGCACGCGCGTACACGCACCGAGAACACTCGCGCGTGACATTTCGCGAACAATCGCTGCTTTCAGGATTTTCTTGCTCGTTCGCTTTTGCCCCCTTTCGTTCGTTTCTCAATCATCTTTCTCCGCCAATCACCCACGGTTCCGTTTCGTCGTACGTATGCGACACCGTTTAAATATACACCTACAACAATATTCTGCGACCAAAAAAATAAACTCTATCGTGTGTATGTGTGTATTTTTGGCTAATTATTAAGCTACAATTATCGATCGCTTTACGGTTACGATTGCGTCGCGATCGATTACGAATGTGAATCGATTACCGGCTTTCAAGTACATATGATACATACATAGTACATACAATAAGTATCGCACGATCGCGTGCTAACGTTCACGGTGCCCTTTTTCATTTTCACGATATACCTACTTACTCTTCGCGTCTTTCTCTCCTTCCGGATTCCTCCATTTCCCTATCATATCTTCTCTTCTATCGTGGTCCTCCCGGATATGGACGAGAGCCGAACCACCGACCGTTCCCAAAAAACTAATCGTAAAAGGCTAAAGAAATTATTATCTGTCTAATTTTTATCTGTTCGATTTCGTCGCCATTCGATCACTGCAAAAGTTTCCTAACCCAGAGCCGATGATCATCACAGCACAAACTTGAACGTAATCGCGATGAGAAGCGTCTTTCTCGCGTACGCCATTTAATTCAACTAATTTCCAACAGATACGCGACCTTTAAACACAGTCGAAGTCTTGTCTCTCTGACTGACAGGCGCGCAATAGGAAACGCTCGTACATTTTCTTTCTCTTTCTCGTTTTCATATTGAAAGGTTACGACGTTTACGTTGCGTGTGACACTGACAATACGCTCGCGCGTTCCGTTCTATTATTTCGTTCGTTCGTTCGCTCGCTCGTTCGCACATGTCTGTTTTTTTTCCACTCCTCTGTCAGTCATCCCCTTGTATCGCCGTTTGATGTTTCCCAAGGTTAATATCAAAAGCGAAGAAGTTCCATTCATAGTCTTTCATCGTAGACTAAAATTCCAAAGCTCGTCCGTACTATCTACTTTTATTTTGGTTTCCCTTTTATCCAGAAACGTTGCTTAAATGTCGCGACAGTCTCCTCTACAATCGTGCGTCGGACGTAGAAAATACAAAAAGGTTTGATTGTCCCAGCTTTGAAATTCTATTCTTTTGTTTTATTCCGTGTCTACGACGAATGCAGCGCAACTCGTTTGTTCACACGTCTAGCCGTCGATCAGTTTTCCGCGCAACGCTTGAAACGTTCTACATAGGTACATACAGAATAAAAGGATGGTGGTTGGTGGGAGAGATCGATCACCACGATTTTCTGCTTAAGTGTATAATACTGCGCTAAGGATTATAAGGTTCACGAATACTTATGAAATCATAGAGCAGAAGTAGAAATTCTTTGGAAGTTGCTCGCTTCAAAGACTTTTCCTTTGCTTTAGTTCGTTTTTCTTTTTTTTTCGCGTACGATCCCGGTATGTATCGCGATCGTAATCGAAAGTCGTAACGTATTATAAAATAACCGTTAATATAAAAATAAGTTCAATCGGTACAAATCAATTGCTTATGTTACGATAATATTGTATCAAAAAGATATCGTTATTCTTAGCATTGCTACTTCAAGATCTTGGCAACGCAAACTCTAGTCTCTTCATTCGTTGCTAACTGCGGTTCTTTACCGATATCAACGAATCGATAGATCGTACAAAGAGGATGTAAAAAATCATCGACATTGGAATACAGAATTGTCTTCAAAATCCATTGGCTTTTTCCCTTCGTTTCTCATATGTTTCGTTTTTATTCGTCCTCTCTCTTTTTTACCTTCTTTCCGTTTGTCCCGTCGATCTATCGCGAAATTCTTTAATCCGTCGCGTCCCTCCAAGTTCAACGACGTCGAGAGAAAAGTGCTCGTGTAGAAACCCAGATACGTAGATATAAAGTCACTCATACCTACGAGCCTAGATACGTATAAAAAAAGAGAATATAAGTATGTAT